AAGACATCGATCGAAAAGTCTTCATAGTCTTCCGACTGCGACGAGCTTAATACTTAGTAATCCTCTGTGTGAATTTAAAATATCCGTATCGTTTTATATTATCCCAGACATCGTAGACAGACAGTTAAATGTTGAATTACTTGCAACAAAAATATACCTAGATTTTTGAAATTTAATTGAAAGTGATGTGAGGCTAACAGCGTACTTTTGAAATATTTATTTAATTAATTGATGGTAAAAGCAACTTTAGTGTAAACATATTTAAAACTAAAACAAACAATGACCAAAATGACATCAATCTCACTGTGGTGCCACCAAAAAGAATGTGAATGCTCTGTTCACCATACATGTAATTCAATTTTAGTTGAATATTTTAATTTTTTTATCGTGAAGGAATTTTATTTTGTAGGCGATAATACTTTTTCTTTTCTAAAACACACTTCAAATTTTCTTTATTAATATATATATAAACCATTCTTTGAGTAAGACAATGATAATTTTACTTGGAAAAAGTACACTGTAGTCGCCAAATTCAACTGTCACTTTCTTCGAGATTTAATGAAGTATTTTAAGATATTTAAATTTAAATGTAAATTTATTCCTTATAAATATTGATTTATTTATTATATAATACAATTTTTATTTACAGAAGATAAAAAAAATGTGGTTGAATATCTAACTACTGTTCTTACAGGATATCTTCAGAAAAAATAAGTGTAAATTTCCAAATCATTAAAGAAAACACAACCACTGACGCCCACGTTTAACGTAAACATTTATTCACTTTACTTAAATACCTTTCACCTGCAAGGTGTATTTATTATTTTATTATCTAAAATTAATGTGAATTTATAAAACGTAGTTGTACTCTATGGAAAGTTGACTGGATAAATTCATTGAGAACTTAGTTATTTTACAATATCATCTCATAAATTTGACAGTATGTTCTGCAATTTAATATCTGCACTTAGAATATATAGGTACATAAAAAATAAAAAATAATTTTTCGATGGTTCAGTTTCTTTCACGAATGTGGGTATTTTTTATGAGACATACAAACGTAAGTGTAATTATCAAGGCTTTTATGAGAATACCTTACAGTTTAGTCGTGTACTTTCTTGCATCAACTGAGATAAATTTCTTAGCAGATTTTTTTTGTGGTTATATTCAACCTAAACAACATTTTTTAAGGTTGTTTTATACAGTGTCTTGAATATCATTATTGCAAAAATTCCAAAAAATAAAAATTACCACAATTCCAAAATTATTTAGCAAGTGATTGATCTTTAATAATAGAAGAAGAAAATCTTCCAGAGAGAATCCATAGATATGGACATTTATATAAAAAAAAACGCTAAAAAAGGACTAGTCCAAAAAAATATTGGATGGTAGAGTACTCTTTTGTACAGAAGTTGTTAATATGCACATTGGCATTTCAATCCAAGTGAGACACTTATCTAATGAGAGATGTGAAACATTGGAGAAATCTTAACGATAATAACTAAAGAACACCATGTTCTTCTCTCGCAATGACAATGCGAAAACAAGCTTCTTCATCGATACATTGTAACGCGACTCTTGCGCGGTGGTCGCGGCAAGAAAAATATTATCTGGCGAGAATCTATTTCTGGTGGTTCTGTGCCCCATACTGTAGCACGGAGACCTCTGCCATTTAGCTCTTTGACGGATAGACTTCATTCGCGAACTACCTACATTTGAGTTCATGCCAACCAAGCTTCGATTGGTTTTCATGCCAGAATTAGAATTTCCTATTTGCACGTATATATTTATTTTTCTAATCCGTTATTTTCGCCCCAAAACATATACGTACATATTATATACCTATGTACCTACAACATTAGACTGCCAGTTTTGGGTATTGTTATTTATTAACAGTTTTAATGTTATCGTAATGTCAGAAGTTCACAAACTATGCTCTTTCAACATTTGGGAGTTGGTATAATTGTGTTTCTCCTACACACTTACTGAATTTTCTAAACTAATGCAAAAAATTTATTAATAGACATAATATGAGTAAATATATTTATGTGGTTCTTAATAAATATATGTATATACATCACGAACTTAATATAAAATACCAGAAACGTTTATACAATTGTACATATTTTTAATCGATCCAATAAAAATTGCAATTATGTACTTTATTTGGTTTAATATTTGAGTATGTACAACTAATACAAATTTCATTCCAGTGTAATGTCCAAAATGTTTGTTTAAGAAATATTATTTATGTTGCAAACATGTTTCTGTTGTGAAATAACCAGTGGATCAAGATCGAGCGTTTATGTGAACAATAATTGAACTTGCGATATTTTCCCCTGAGAACCGATTTCCTTTAGGTGTCAAAAAGTCTTTAAATGTAAAAAAGAAAGTTCTTCATGGCAGCTCATTGCCGGGTTATAAATAAAATATGGCTGCAAAATAGGACTATATTTAGTACTGGTGCCGGGGTCCATTCATTCACAAAATTCCTATAAAACATTTATCTTTTCTCTTGAAGACAGAGTCAACCTTTGTTGTTAAACGATTTTTAAGTTCCACTGGAATACTTTTCAAACAATTAACGGTAATTTTTATTTTTCCTAAAACTTCGTTGAACAAGTTTCAGTTCATAAATATGTATAAACAATAATTTTTAATAAATGTTCAAAATTTTCACGGATAAAATTCAAATCGTTTTGTATACTAAGTTTTACGAAGTCATAGACTTTTAATCATCTGTCCCATCGCGTTATCATAGCTGCCGGAAGAGGTATTCCGAGAATAGGTTGTCTATACATAGGGAAACTCGTAAAGGACCTTTTCGAAAATTTGTTTAAAAACAGAAATCAAGTCATCGGCGTCTGTAAATTGGCCTCGAACAAATTCAGCAATACGACATGGTGTATGTGCAGTACATGTGACATTACATCTTGTTGGAGTAACAAGCAGTTAGAAAAGCTTAAGAACCTGACAATATTTAAATACATTTAATACGTCATTGACATACATCGAAAATAATACGGATTGTAAGGTAATCCCTGGGGAATTTCTGACGACGCAATACTACAATTTGATTGGTCGCCGTTAGAAAAACATTGTTTGGCGAAAACAAATAAGAAATAAAGAAATTCAGTAACGACTAACGAGTTACACAAACCACTTTTTGACAACATGTAGATTGGTGTCTGCTGGTCTACCTTATCAACTCCCTTGACAAGATTTACTTCCCGAGCGTAAGCTAAGGAAGAAATAAGTATCCCCTTTCTGTCTATCTGTCTCTTTGTCTCTGTGTCTGTTACCGTCTGTCGGGATTTTTGTTAGTCAGATTGGACAGATAATTTTCGAAACTATTGGACGTTATTAAGATATAAGCTAAAATAACTACGAATTTACTTAAGAATACGCTTAACAGTTAAAATTCACTCTAAATATCCTTATCCCACCTTCGGAATTTATATTTACTGAAAAGTTTTTGTTTTAACTTTAACGACGCAATTCTTTAGAATACCAATTCGAGTACAGTACTTACTGCTGCACACGGAAGTCGATATGTGTTTACGACATAGGAGTATAATATTTGCTACATGGCGTTAGAGGCCTGATTTGCATCAAAAATATTATATAAAACCGCTAATCAGTACCTAAAAAAGCAGTAGGTAAACAATGCCACAAAACTGTAATTTTGATGTTAACGTTTCACACCACTCGAATAATGATAATAATAATAATAATAATAATAACCCATAAGTCGAAAATTATACATTATTTTTTACTCTATTTCAGAAAAGCGTATTTTAAAAAAGTTTCTTTTTTTGGTGAACATTTGAATTCATTATTATTCTAATGTATGTTCAACAGAGCTCCCTGGACAAAATATTTCTTACTGTTTCAAGCGTTCTTGGCAAATACTCGTATGTTTACCATATTTTTATTTAAAACATCTTATTCATGGCGGTTAGAGGCAGAAGAATTTCTTGGATCTGGAATAGTATGTCGTTTTATTATATAGAATGCAGATTTATCTGTGCCAATAAATGCGGGAAATCTAAGACAGAATTTAGATTTTTACACAGAAATACGATACGGGCTATTTTATTTCTGAGTTAAGCAATTTGTTGATATTTATCTCAAGGATGAATAGACTCTAACCGCTCGAAGGCATAAAAATTTGAGAAACTTTCTGTGTGCACAACAACACAACGACAATATAACGTGGGAACCAAAGTATCAAGACGCACTCAAGCTCACTTCTGACAAATGCATTAAAATTACGTAATAACGTCGAGATTTTAGAAAATTGTCTTCTGTTACGTGCGATGTGTCCTTGAGTTTAAGTGAAGTTTTTCAACGTATTCCAAAAATGACAGTGTTCTATCTCACTACACCCACTTTGTTCAACACAGTGTCAACACTGTCAGCTAACTTTTATTACTCAAACAGAATGATATTGTTTTTGAATGCACATGACAGTATCAACGCTTTTTTTATTGAAGGAAATTAATTTTGTATGCACAATATTATAATAATAATAAGTTTATTACGCCAAAAAAAAGGCAATACATAATTAGTTAAAAAAAAACAAAAACAAATTATACAAATAACAATTTACGGCATTCTCTCTTGAATCTATTAAATGAAACACCAAAAAATTCTAGGTTCTTACAGTATTGGTTAGCAAGTAAAATCATACTGTTCAAGGGAGAATGAAGCGCATAATTCCTTCGATGATAAGGTACAAAAAACACATAAGGGGAACGGACAGTTCGAACAGGTATATTAAAATAAATCATAGATAATAAATCGGGCGCATCTACTAAACCATTTACTAACTTAAAGATAAAACACAATTTGTGATAAATTCGACGATTTTCTAAACTACTAATTGATACATAACTAGCAACCAGCTGAGTATTCTCTAAAATAATGTTTTTTAAAGCGAGTCTATACATTAAATATTTAAGAAAATTGTTTTGTACAGCTTCAAAACGCCTGGGTGCTTATTCTCGAAATCACACGATGTGATCATTCCCACATAGGATGGGATCGTTCATATCACACGGTTTTCTCTCAGTGTACATAGAACCGTATTCTTGAATGACAAGAGAAGAAGGATTCTCCTAGGAACAACATGTCCAACCCATGGTCCAACGTTGTCGGTTTTCAAGAGAAGACATCAGCCAATAAAAATATTGAATCACTGTTGTCCTAGTAACGCCATTCATTTATAAATGTCAAATTTGATTAAAGACGTCAATTTTTCTGTTATTAGTTTTTGTTCTTGGTTTAGTGCGCTCTTCGACGAAGAATAATAGACTATCACAGGTAAAACTTTATCTTAATAGGGAGCAATTTATGAATCATCCCCTAGAAATTTGTTTTTCATAAATTTTTTCGATAGAGATGGAAGGTAATACAAAAAAGGCGGTGAGATGTGGTTCCATAACCGCAAGACAAAAAGAAATGCTGGTGGCATTTATGGAAAATCATCCCCAATTGAAAACGGGAAAATTTTCAAATATTTTTACCCATAAGGACGCTAGAAATTTATGGAGCGAAGTAACCGTTGTTCTGAATCAATGTCCAAACGGCAGTAAAAAGGAATGGGAGCAGTGGCGAAAAGTAACTAATTTTATTATATTGGTTATAATAATGAGTCTAACTAAGTACATATTTATAAAATTTAGGTATGGCAGGACTTAAAAAAAAATGCCAAAGCCAAAGCTGCTTCCATTTCAAGTAATTTAAGAAAAACTGGGGGTGGGCCGGGATCCGAAGAAACAATGGACCAACTGGAGAGCAGCATTATAGATTTAATGGCTCCTACAGAGATACATGGAGATATGGGTGTATCAGAGTCACAAGTCTCTTTTGACGGAATTTCGGTACTTGTAAGTAAAACAGCAAGAAATTAAATTTTAAATATTTAAAGTTAAGTGTACCTGTATCAATAGGGCAACACTGACGCAGCATCATCCTTTAGTATTAATAACCATGTAAACGACAATGTAGAAGCTTCCACATCCACAATTTCTACAATTCCCGTGAAAAATTCGAAGGCAGTGACGAAAACTAGGCGGCTCAACAAGACTCACAGGTTAAAGACATCATTGCAAGCTTCGGAGCGATTACTCACAATAAGTGAGAAAAAAGAGCAGTACCTGCAGTCTTATTACAAAGAAAAAATCGCTATTTTGAAGCAAGCGGAAGAAAGACGCAGGAATTATGAAAACAAAAAATTATGCTTTCTCGAACAGCAAGTTAATGTCCAACAGTCGTTACTGGAAGAACTACGACAGCTAAAAACTGCAATTCTGTCCCGCAAATAACTAGATTAGATTTTGTTCGCCACTAATCATTTATAAATTATAATAAAATAATAGTTTCAGTTAAAATGATTATGTATTATACGCTGTTGTAACTGCCTTGCGGCAGCTAAATCCGGATTAACATGGGCCATTTGTACATCGTCATATATTTCGTCATCATTATAAAGACCTAAGTCCGCTTGTTCCATCTCTGCGTCGAACTCTGGTTCTGGAATTCTATGTTGTAAACACATATTGTGAAGTACAACACAAGCATTAATAATTTTTGATGCCATCTGGGGACGATAGTGCAGAACTCGGTGTTTTAAAAGACACCTAAACCGATTTTTTAGAACTCCGTTGCATCTCTCTATTAAACTCCTAACACTAATGAATCGAGTGTTAAATCTTTCAGCAGGACCAGGCTCAGGATTCCTTAGTGGGGTCATTAACCATGGTCGCAGTGGATAACCTACAGTATATACAAAAATTACGTTTTTTATTTGCATTAAGAAAGTTCATATGTATACCAGAATCACCCGCTAAAAAATATGTATCCTCAGGATCCTGACGATAGATTTGTTCCATTACATGAGACATTGCAGACTGCCTCCAAATGTAAGCATCATGGCTACTGCCGGGAAAACGGGCATTCACATTTAAAATTTTAAGGTTTTCATCACAAACCTACAGAAAAGTTAGAATTTTCTTAAATTTATTAACTTCTTTGATACTTTTCTGTTACATACCAACTGCACATTAATGGAATGGTACTGTTTTCTGTTGACATATATATGTTCAGGATATAGGGCATCATGTATAACAGGCCGTACAATCGCTACATGTGTACAATCGATACACCCTACAATGCCCGGTAGATGATGCTTCTGAAAAAAACTAAAAAATGTTTGAATCCAATATCTTTTTGTCATTATGCATATATCTAATAAGTACCAACCGAAGACGAAGTTGTTGTAGTTCCTCTCGATTCGCCGGGAAATGAATCCAATTATTTAATATTTGAGGTTGACATAAAGCATTAGCAACTTCTTTGATGGCCCGACTGGTACTTGGCTGGCTCAAAGACACATATTTATTTGTGCCAGTAATTTCCTGATAACTACCAAAACCAAAAAACCTAAGTGCTGTAAGTACCTAAAGTCCGTCAATACGTCATTTGCAAATCCGTCCATTTATTAAGATCTTTACCTTATGTTGAATGCTAATAGCGGAACTTCGAGATGCTTCTTGCATAAACGGTCGAATCGTTTCTATAATATTTCGCGCCAAGGCCTTATTTACGCGAAAATATTTTCTAAATTTATTTTCGTCTAGTTGTTCAAAAGGATCAACTTGATGTCGTATTTGCAGTTCCCGAAGTGGACGCTCCACTTGCTCTTCAGCATCATCGAGATCGTCCATGACTTGATTAAACAATGCCAGATCCAATGGGTCCAACGGATCCATTAATTCAAAAACTGCTTGTCTGTTTTGTTTACAGAATAAAATTTTCCAATTTTTCAACCTTCTACAATTGTTTCCAATTGATTTAAACCACTTTGAAACAATTCAAATTAAGAAACACTTTTAAATACCACTGTAAAACTAAGTACACTAAGAACAAAATATGAACACGATACGCTGAGTATTGACAACTTTTACAAACGCCTTCTTCAAAATTTCGATCCTTCTCCCGAAAAATACCAAGAGAACAACGTTCCTACGATTTTCAGGAGATGGGAATAAGCTCCCAGTTTCGAGAATTCGGTATAGCTAATTTCGTGAGAAATTACCTCTCATTCCCTCTCTTTTCTCCCGATTTTGTGATTCCTACGATTCGAGAATAAGCACCCTGATGTGGGAAGAATAAAACGGTGACCAAATAAGAGTGTTATATTCTAACAAGGATCTTACGAGAGAACTAAATAATATGACTAATACACGTATATCATTGAAATCAGTAGACCACCTTTTAACACAACCTAACATTTTCCTACCTTTAGAAATTATTGTATCATAGTGACAATGAAAACTTAACTTAGCATCTAGTAAAACACCTAAATCTTTAATTTCTTTGACCACAGATAGTGCAGTACCACATAAAATATAAGAACACGGAGATGAAGCAAATTTCCTGCTAAAACATATAACCTGACATTTATCTAAATTGAGTGACATATCATTAATTTTGCACCATTCTTCAATTTTAATTATATCGGATTGTAGGACAACAGTATCAGTAAGTGTGCGTATGCTCTTAAACAATTTTTGGGTCATCAGCGTAGAGAAGCGTATTCGATGTAATATTCGAAGCAATATCGTTAATGAAGATATGGAACAGAAGTGGGCCAATGACTGAACCTTGCGGAACACCTGAAGTAACTAGATATTCATTTGAACTGACTCCGTTCAAATGTACACATTGATAACGGTCTAATAAATATGTTTTAAGGGTGGCGTCTGGTTCGGTTTCGCCCAATACTAAATACATTGAAAACATCGTCGTAGTTTCCGGAATTGCATTTTTAAAATACTGAAATCTCCAACCAAGTCAGAATCTAAGTAAACCTGTATTCTGCTACCGCATCACAGCTCGTTTAATACCGATTTCTCGTTTCAATAGATTTTGACTTTTCGCGAGTTAGTTACCTCAGTCGTGGATTTTATAATATTATAAATGGTATCAAAAGAAAGCTGACACTTTTCCCCAGGGGACTTCCTATCTCAGAGTGCAAAAAACTTCAGCACTTCGTCAAAAAATGCATCAATGTGCCGGTTAAAATGTGATGTAAAAGTTGTTCAACTTTATAATTTTTTTTTGTAAAAACTGCATACTAGATATGAAAATAAATATGGAGGTCCCCTGGACTGAAGTTTGTTAATTCGAAATATAATTTTTTTAAAGCGATATATCTGATATTTTTAAAATGCAACTCCGGAAACCGCGACGATGTTTTCAATGTATTTAGTATAGGGCTAAACCGAACCAGACGCAAGCCTTAAGCCATGACAGAAGAGGATCACGAAGTCCGTACAAATATAGCTTTTTTAAAAGTATAAAATGATTGACAGTGTCAAATGCTCTGAAGTCAGTGTAAACAGCATGAACATCTAAGTTATTTTCAAAGTCATCGAAAATATAATTAACAAAAGTAAAAAGATTGGTTAAAGTTGATCGTTTTGAAAAAAATCCATGCTGACAAGGAGTTATCACAGTTTTAAATTTCTCAAACATTTGAGCAGCTACAATGCTTTCAAAAATTTTTGACGGAGTACACAGCAAACTTATAGGTCTATAATTTTTTATTTCAACCTTTAAACCTGTTTTAAAAATAGGAATGATAAATGCTGATTTCCAGATAGTCGGAAACTTGCCAGAATTAGTAGATCGATTATATAATCGGCAAAGGGGATCAGCCAGAGATTTGCTGCATGTCTTAAAAAAAGATTGTGGGAGTCCATCAGGCCCTGAACAGTTTTTGTTTTCAAGGCTTTCTAACGCACTGAGAACGGAGGAGCTCTCAATTACGACATTATTTAAATCAACAGGTTGATCTACATGAAAGTTGATATTGTCAAAATTGATGTTCTTATTACTAGTAAATACTGAGGAAAAATGTGTAGCAAAGCACTCTACGATTTTCTCAGCACCACACACTTGCATGTTGTCGTAAATCATATTTAAAGGAAGCTTACTGCATGTGCTAGATTTACTTTTAACAAAACTCCAAAATTTTTTCGGGTTAACCATGATGGCATTCTCTGACTGTTCAACATACGAAGAGTAGGATCTACTAACAGCAGCTTTACAATCATTTCTAAGTGGCGAGAAAATTAAGTAATCATCAAAGCCTTTGCTGATTTTATAGCGCTTATGAGCAGCTCGCTTTAAATTAATTAAATTTCGGACTTCCTGGGAAAACCACACAGGAAAGCGCTTCTTACATTTGTTTTTAAGAGGAACAAATCTATCACAGGCATAAAATAAATGTGTGTAAAAAATAGAAACAGCAACATCAATATCACAACAATTATCAATACAATTCCAGTTAACTGATAACAAGTAGTCATTGATTGCATTGTAACTACCATTCTTAAAGTCTAGATATGTATCACAGAAATCATCTAAAAAAATATCACAGTCGTAAATAGTAAACTTAAAAGGAGGGTGGAATAAGTCCTTTATGATTAAGTTATCACAGTTCGAAAAACAAAGGTCAAGTACATTATTAGAACAATTAATTGACAAAATAGTTAAATTGAGACAGATCGAAGGAATAAAATTTATCAAAAATTAAGAGGTCTTTTTCTGACTTGACATTGACAGGTACATACATATTAGTGTCAACGTCCTGAATCCACCTAACATTACATAAATTATAATCACCTAAAATAAATACAGTGGAGTCAGCGTAGTCATATACATTTTTTTTTTACATTTTGTACATGGATAGAATAATCATCAATGTTAGAATCTGGCGGAAAATACACAGCACAAAAAATGTACCTTTTGTTAATAAGTTGAACAGAAACCCACAACTCTTCAATATTGGCGGTAATACTTAACACACTCGGTGCAAGACAACTTTTAACCGCAATCATAACACCACCTCCAGATTTTTTAACACTGTTACCAGAATTCCTGTCATTACGAAACACTACGTACCTATCATCAAGCACTTCTAAACAAGAAATAGCTGGAGTCAACCATGTTTCGACAAACACAAGAACGTCATAATTTTCACAAGCACAAGACAAATAACAATCTTTGAGCTTGGTGCGGAGGCCGCGAACATTTTGATAATAAACGCTAATTTCTCTTACGTTATTGGAGTTACCTCCTCTGAGTTTAAAAAATTTGGAGATTTATTCAAAGATGGAATTGCCTTCGAACTAGATTGTTGACATAGCGAGGAAGGAACATTAGAAGCTTGATTTTCAATACTAGGAGGCGCGGCTTTGGTTTTTGATGGCAGGAATTTCCTGACTAACGCTCCTTTGGGCCACGAATCACCATTGAGAATATTGTCAGATTCAGATTGACAAATTTCTAGTTTAAAAGATTTATAGTGCTCATCAGATCTTAATAAAGTACATTTTGCATAGCTAATATTAAGTTCACTATGTATATAATTTTCAACGTCATCAACATTCATTGCTGGATCTATACGACTAAAAATAATAGAAATGTTTTTTTTCAATAGTGCGTAGAGAAGAATTTGATTTCTTACCAGTAATAAAACGTAATTTTCCATTAGCTTTTTTCGACGATTCTTTGCGTAGATATCTGGGTTGCTCCCAGCCATGGCCGTTATTTTCCTCATGTTGAATTGATGCAAAGGCATTTCCCCAAGGATAGCGTTAGTTTTTAAAGTTTCTCTCTTATCGGAGTGATTAAATTTTAGCAAAGACTGAGCATTTTTACCATCGAATACCGAAGATAAGGGTTTTTCTACCGCGGATTTGTAGTTAACTTCACTTTCATTGTTAATATATTTGCGAGTCACATTATCTTCATCAGTTACCTTCTTCTCTGACCGAATCAGGTCCTGATGGTTACATATCCACGATTTTTTGTAACTATTATATGAAGATTCATCCTTATCGCAATCATAATCCATCCGACACGCAGCATCACTCTTCTTAGTTGATTTTAAAAACACATCCTTAGATAACAATTTCATAAGATCATCTTGACTCTCCCTGAGCTTAGTAACATCCGCTCTCAAAAATTCGACTTCTTGTCGTAGTTTTTCAGTTTCCGATCTAACAACTTTACTCAAAATATCCGTAAAGAGAGAACTAGACAAAAATGATGCAACTAATGGTTCATTCAGCAGATCCACATCCGATGGAGTATTGGGATTACTCAACACAATGTTAACACCGCAGCACTTTTTAATTCTTTCCACACAGCTAGGATGAAAAACAGTTCCACACACACCACAAATTGGACCATTTTTCGCCTTTCTTTTGCAACCCTTGCACACTAACTCATCACTAATTTTATTTAACAAATCACTGGAACCACCAGCAAATAAGCGTGCGTCCGTCATGACAGACACGCGGAGAGTGTAACATATCTACTCCAGATTTTTTTAATAAATTTTTAAGACACATTGGGATTACGTATAGAATATATCTTAATCACATCCGTATTTAACAGAGAAACACATTTAGTGACGCAACTGCAACATTGATTAAGATGTTAGACAGAAACGTCCCAAGACGGGAGTCGTAAGGTACTCCTAACGAAGCCATGATTTTGTCAAGAGAACGACCATTGATAAATACAGTTTGTTTTCGTTTACACAAGTAAGAATAATCAAATCAGGTGTACCACTCGATTTACTAAGGGTATTTTATAAGATTCCATTTTTACTGTTTTCAATACCGGCACTGGTATTTAAGGTGATTTAAGTAATTAGGCTAATGTGCATCACAACACAACATAAAACATAAATATAAACTACTTCGACGACCACATGTTGAGAGACATAAGTTTGAGGTCTTTTCGTTTTGATCTTGTCACGCAACATGTAACCATCGAAATAGTTTTTTTTTCGTGGACTGTAAAGCGTGCTTTTTATAATAACTCTAATGAAAATCGACTAAAACTAAATCAAAGGTTGACAGTCTCATCTTACACATTCATAGTTTCATGCCATTTTGAAATCAAATATCTAATAAGTATGTAGTAACTAGTAATTATTCATTCAAGATTTTTTCGACATAAAGTAGGCATTGATATTTGTTCTTCATGTGTGACAAACTGATTCGATGGTATAATAGTATACAAAACTTCGGGGAAAGGTTCGTTCCTTTGTCGAGAAAATAGTTCACCTGGAGGCTACGCC